CAGGCCTGACCAGCAGCCTGTCCATCAACCTCAGAGCCACAATGGATTGGTTCTGAAACACAAGGGACAGGGCTCCTTTTGCTGGAGAAGAAGGAGAAAGCTTCTAGAACTTTGTYACAGGAGYGATCTTTGTGGTTTCTTGGTCCCATCCCCCCACCACCAAAAATCARACTGAGTAAAACCAGGACACAGGGCTAGATTCTGCAGGACAGCCAGTGCCTGGCTTCAGTGTCCCCATGGGTGGCTCTGCTGTGCCCATGGCTGCCCGAGCCAYGGGCCATCACCAGGATGCAGGGCCTCAGGAGCCAGCTGGGCTGGCKGAACCGCTGGGGGCTGGGGTGGGTTGCCCAGGAGGGCTGGCAGAGGGGAAGGAGGGAGCTGAGGGGCTCTGAGGCCCAGGGTTGGGGGGCTTCAGGGAACCACTCGTGAAGCTGGGTTGTGTTGGGTGTTTTTAGTGTRACTGTGATTCATTTGCAGTTTTAATCTTCTGAAAGCAAGGGTCACCTTCGCATCTGAGGCTGCTCTGGTTTTTGGACCAGTCAACTGTTTTTGTTTCCATTCCTAGCAATTTCAGATGATCTTTAATGTGTATTTCAAAGGGAGATTAAAGAGCCTTTTCCTCCATGGAGAGRCTTTACTGCAGTTCTAACTTTGACTTAAGTATGTGATCCTTGGCTGGCTTCAGATCTGCTTGACATGGATGGCCTTCCTTTCACAGCAGTTCAAAGGCAGAATGATAAGATAGCATATAATATGAGATGCTCTTAAGCCATGCTAGGAAAACTGCTTTTGTCCCTACCAAAGGTGAATTTTTTACTTGCCTTTTTTGTTCCCATTTWAAAAAAAAWYTATTCTTCATGTGCTGCACTTTTTGATAGACGTTTTCTGTGATAGGAACACCAATCTGAAATGCATGCATCGGAGATTTTAACTTGCATAGTCTGTTGGTTTTGCTGCCATGTCACTTGCATACTTAGTTTTCAGCTTTCTGACCTCAGCTATGTCACTGAAATGAATTGATTAGCTTTGGATTTGTRGTGGTGCTTGTGGAGAATGAGGTTCAGGATTGGCTTTTTTTTCTTGACTAAATGAATCAGGTAAAACAGCAGTCCAGTTTTAGAACAACATTCAAGGCAGGTGGAGAAACCTGAAGGAAACATTTAATATCCTGCTGTCAGAACAGGGATTTTTATATGTCATTTCCAAATAACCTTATTGATACTTGTGATAAAATGTAAATTGAATATTGTTGAATAACTTTTTAGAAAACCATAACTTT